TCCTCAAGGTATTCACAGTATTTTTCTTTTAGTTGAAATTAAAAACTTAATTCTTAAATTTTGATGGTATGTTTTACTTAATTCCTCAAGATAAAAAATTCTCAATGACTGACTTTGAACTGTTGTTCTATATAATCTCTAATATTAATATAATTAATTAAATAATGACATAATATATGTGATTATAAAATAAATAGTTTTCTGATTTGATAGGATTGAAGAAAGTAGACATTAAAATAAAATTAAGTGGTAGTAAAATATATAATATTTTTGAATTAAACTTAACAAATAAATTTTATAAGTTGTATCACTTTACTTTCTTTCCCTTATTTTTATAATTTATTTGTCACCTTGGTACCAAATTAAACAATATATATAATTTTAATGTTGAAGGCTACAAGATTATGATTAAAGTTTCTTAAAAAAACGGAAAAAGAATATGATTAAAGTTTTTTGAAATTGAGGGAGTGATTAAATTTTTCTGAAATTGAGGAAGTAAATATAATGATCAAAGTTTAAAACTTAAATTTGTAATTTATTTATCTTAATTTCATATTAGTGCCATTAACTCTATCTTTTTATTTTCTTTTATAAAGATAAAATATGGTAGGTAGATAATTATTCTCTCATCACTTTTGATATTTTTAACCTAAGGTTTGAATAATTTTAACATTTTGATATTTTTAATTTCAAAAGTAACCTCAATTGGCTTTCCCTATTAAGCCTATCTATTGGAAAGAGAGTACATAATTCTTAGAAATATAGGAATTATAAAGGAAGATAGTATTTGCAAATATGTATTTGTATAAAGGTAATTACAAAGATGACCATTTTTTTAAAAGTAATTACATACAGGCAAGAAAAAGTATCTAAAAAAAAGCAATTAAAATGATTCATTAAATCACCCATAGACTTAGATTTTTTTTAATACAAATAATAGAGGAATTCAAACTTCCACGTCAAGAAAGGTAATTGGTATGCCTTAGCTATAGAGCTATACTCGGATCGATACCAATAGACTTGATTTACATAATTAACGATTGACTTTTAAAGTGAGTTTGAGATGATTTTTGAGACGCTCGTACTAATTAAATGTAATTTTCTCTAAAAGCAATTAAAGTATCTTAGAAATTTCAAAATCTTTTTTCAATTTTGTAATCGTAAATATCACGAAAAGCTTCTCAACAAATGCTTTTAATTACCAAACTCACCCATTTGATTGAAATGGTCCTAGGTATGCTCAATAGCGAATTAGTCTGCGTTGTACTTTTCTCATACTTTTTTAATCTTCTCGACCGGTGTTTGTCACATTCTCTCGAAATTCGATTTTTTACTGCCAGTAAATAAAGAGAAAATCTAATACGATGAATGTAATTGTAATTATTTAGATTTAACAATTATGAAAGTCAAATGTTATCACATATAGAAAAAGCAATGAACATATACATGATAATAAAATAATATTCCAATTTGGAATATGAAAATACCTAAATAATCTAAAGGACCATCTTTTTCCACTTTAGGCAACTAATGTATATTATCAATATTCCTTACATTATTGATTATAAGGATGCAATGAATTTTCTTATCTTTGCACCAAAGTCTCAAAGAGCTCAACTTTCACATGGTTCACCATAAAAGATAGATGCATATCCAACACTTTTGCATCAAAAAATCCAACTTAACTATTTATTTTCTTCTCAAAATTTTATGGAATTAAATAATAAAATTAGCAAATTAAATAAAAACAAAAACTAATTAATTAACCATACATCTAAACATAATGAAAATTGCAGCTATAACGAATAATATATTTTTTTTCTATCCACCGAAGATTTATTTAGAAATGACTTTATGTTTCTAAAAATTAGAACTATTTTTTTTAGTGTGGAAAATTTGTTTGACAAAAAGGAACTTTTTAAAAAAAAAAAAAAGAGAACAAAAACAACATTATGTTGTTTCATGTATTTACTTTTATACTTTGTTAATTCTTTTTGACCCAACATAACTATTTTCTGAATTTATTATCTTTTTTGTGAGTGTCTGTGTCAGCTTGTGTGCACACCACCACCTGATTCTATTATGGTTGTCAAAGAAACACATAGGAAATTAATTTCTAAGTAGGTGACCTTCGTGAGTTGGAACTCATCCCCTCTAAATTTTTTTAATTTAAAAAACAGGAGGCCAATGCAAAAACTTTGATAAGCGTACCTATTTATTCATGAAATTAAAACACAAGAGAGTAGATCAATTGGGATAAAATATAGGTGGGCGTAGGGATAAAAAATTCGACAAGGCAAGTCGAATATAATATCGTGTAAACCGATTTGTTTACTCACTCTTATTTGATCTAGCGGGTCGGTTTTGTAT